CACGTCATCGGAGCGGGTCCCAGCGCTACAGTTCCCCACCCACGCGCAGGTCCCTCCCGGCGCACTGGAAACCAAAAGAAGTGAAGGGTGGGACCCACCCGCCAATCATTATCAAGCCTTTGAGGGAGATTTTACGCAAAATTCTAAAAAATAAAAAAGAAAAACGAACAAGAAGTGATTACGCAATAAATCGAGGTTTGCACGGTCGGATATCGGGATATATGACGCAAAAAAAAATTGGGGCTCGTGTAAAAGGAACGAGTGTATTTTTAGATGACCCACGTCTTCTGAATATTCAATGGTTGTAAATGGTTGTAAAGCGCAAGGTCAATTGCTAACGTGACATGTGTTTTTTGTTTATCTTTGATAATAAATTGACATGTGTCGGATGAGGTGAAATAAATAAATAAATAAATATTTGATTTTCAATTTCTTCTTCCTCCATTGCAGAACGCCACCTCTCCGACCACCGTCTCCATTACTTCCAGTTGCGAGCGCTGACGGAGGTGTAGCTTGTGCCGACTGCAAGCAACCCTAGAAGAGGTGGAGATGGTGGCTAGAGGGGTGGTGCTATGTGATGGAGGAACAAAAAGATAAAAATCAAACTTTTATTTTTTATATTCCACCTCAGCCAACATGTGTCAACCTATTATTGGACATGAGTAAAAAACACACGCCACGCTAGCGATTGAGGTGGCGCTTAGCAACCACTAGATATTTTCTCCTTTATGAGGAAGGGAAAAGCGAGAATTTCTCATCTGATGTGCCTTGATTTACTAACTTACGGATATAGGGGGTATTACTTTGAATGAAAGTGGCAATTTGGTAATTTCTTGACTAGATTTAACCAGAGTTACTCGCTTTTAGTTAGACTTGTTAAATGGGTGGCTCGAGTTTTGTTTGGTTTGGGTCGAAATGGTCCGATTCAAATTGACACATTTAATCTGTTTTGATTCGTTTTCATGCAATTCAAATTTAGTGACCCATACTCCACCCAAATCATATTGCTAAAAATATTTACATATTTGACATAATCTAGGAAAATCCATACCCAAATTGAGGTGAGAGCGCTGAGTGAGTAAGCTCGAGATCGAGTGAAGGCGAGAGTTAGTGAAAAGAGAGTCATAGAGATGAGTTGGATCTAAGTAAGTTGAGAACCCATTTAACACCTATATTATTTTGAGCTTTATCATTCTAAATCCATGTATGAGCAATTTACTGAATATAACTAACTCATATAATAATTCGGCCCATCAAATTTAAGTTAAGAAATTAGTTTATAACCTATTTTGACATGTCTACTTTTAGTTAACAAATGAGCGCAGAGCAGAGCCAAACGACAAAACATAATGTATGGAGATATGTTCACAGCTAAAAAAAAAAAGTAGAGATACGTTCTTTATATTGGGGACAAAAATGAGGTATGTTTTTGGTGTTTTTTTCCCCGTTTTCTCTCTTTTTATCTTTACGGAAAAATAAGGCATATTTACATGCTTTAAATAAATTCAAATTTCAAAAAACAAATATGAAAATTTTATAGGTGAATCTCCACATCAATATTTAAGTGGTGTGAAAGTTTCCATTGAAAAAAATAATCAAAGTGCGTGAGCCGCAAGATTTAAATTAAGTAAAAAGGTTAACTAATAGGAGATCAATAAATTACATGAAATCATCAGGGAACATAATTGGACGGATTTTTCTTTTTTTTGGTCGGGAGCCCTGAACGGATTGGATCGAACATAATTTGACCTAAATATCTCCGGTCAATTTGTAATTAACTTGAAAATCTTCAAGAACGTTCACAATAAAAATTAAATTTTCGTTGCACATTAAAAAAATGAAAATTTAGTTTTGTTTACTGCTAACTCGTTTATTTTAGATGTGGTGACAAGATTTATTTAAAAAGTAGTAATTAAACCACGTTTCACATAGTATTGATCGTCTTTTAACGAAGGAGTTGGATATGTATCTAATTTGCAATATTACAAGGTAGATAGACCATGATAATATACAAGTCAGTTAAAACAATGAAAATTTGAGATGGAGTCAAACCTCAATGATGGAATAAAAGAATAAAAGTGCCTCGTTTCTTTTGTAAAGATGATTGTTTTTTTTTCCTAGCTGTAGGCACGAGCTACTTAAAGGGGAATTAGCACAACAACTCATCGTCATGACCTCACCTGAATCTGAGTTCCTTATGATAGGAATCGAATCCACAACCACTAATTGTGAAGTCGAAAGTGAGGGAACGCTTTCACGACTGGGTTAATTGTAGGGTGGGTCTATAAAGATAATTGCTATTTAGGCAAGCCGTGGAAAATCAATTACTTTTTTGATAAGAAAATCAATTACAATTCCATATGCATAGATGAGACTTTGAGTGGACGAGACTTTGTTTTCAAAGTAGATTCCTCAAGAAAATAATTCCCAAAATATAACTCCCCCAAAACAATTTTGCAAATTAGACTTCTCCATGTCACATTATGCTTAAAGATTTCCTAATCATCGCCCCCTCATCCTAGTCAAGTTTTTTTTTATCTCTCTCCTTAAATTAAAAATTTTCAACATTTTCCACAACTTTTTATTTTTCCAGTGCAATATTTAGAAATACCAAGCCAAAAGGATCTCCACAATCGAATAATTTATTCAGTGATGTATGTTCCTTTGTATTTCATTTTTTGCTGAACTTGTTATTTTCGGGTTGACATCCTTTCATTCTTAGCTTTTTAGTGAAGATTATCATTTATCTGCTTAGAGTTGTTTTTCATCAATGATTTAATATTATGAACCAAATATATTTTAATATCATTACTTCGACCAATTATTTTGTGCATCGTAACCATTTTTGTACTTTTTTCCAAGTACAATTGTTAACATTTTTCCTGTATAAAAGTTACATATAAAATAAGTTATATTTTTCTTTTTTTTCTTTTTTAAATTTTATTGTAATCGTTCAATTAAGTGGATTGATATTTCAAATGCAATTTTGCTGAATAAATACTTAAAAGTGGAAAATTTTCTTTCATTCGATAAGATGTAGTATTAGTTACTTAATCTTGAAATTCTAGTCTAATAGCAAAAAAATGGATTTATTTAAACTAACTTTCAATATACATTTGCCTTTGGCCATTTATAAATTCAAAAATTAATAGCAAAATAATTTTTCACATAAAATTGTGAAATGTATTATAAAATACTTTTCTATCCATATTTTGAGTTCAAAGCCAATAAGAGAATAAATTTGTGGAATAACAAATCAATAAATCCAAACTTGATTGAAGGTTTGCAACTCTTGCTTCGGAATTAATTATTTATAGTAGGTTAATTAAAAAAAGAACAAAGGTAAAAGTGACTAAGATGAACGGGCAATGATTAGGCAGTCTTTAGGCACAGTGTGGCACGAAGAAATCTAGTTTGACAAATAATTTTGGGAGATCTAAATTGTGAATACTTTCATAGGGATCTATTTTGCGAAAAAAAAAGTCTAAAAATGAACTAATTATAAAATTTTGACAAAAAAAACTAATTATAAAATCACTATAAGTTTACACGTGTCATTGATCTAACGTCACTTTCGGAAGTAATTTTTGCACATCATCTTATCTCCATTGAAATTTACTATTAATAGGTTGCATTTGTCATCGTCAATTATAATAAGATGTAAGAGTGATTAGTTTCTAGTTCAGTCTGGGTTCACCTGGAAACTGGGAATTGGGTTCCGGACCACCTGATCTAGGAACCGGACCGGTTCTTGGGCAGTCTAACGGAACCGGTCAACGTCCGAGTGAAAGTGGCCACGGATCTCCACCAGATAACTAGTGATTGGCGAAGAGCGAATTGGTGATTGAATGACCAGCAACAAATCCCCTGTAATAAGAGTAGATTCGGGAGGGAAGTGGCATAAGGTGCATCGAATTGCAATGTCTCAGAGCAGTGGAAGCCATTGAAATTGGCGCGGAGAGAGAGAGAGAGAGAGAGAGAGAGAGAGAGAGAGAGAGAGAGAGAGAGAGAGAGAGAGAGAGAGAGAGAGAGGGGTTTTAGTTGGGGGCTTGCTCTTGCTTCTCGTTTGCTTTGCCTTGCTACTTCGAAGGGTTTAAGGAGAAGAGAGAAAGAGGAGATCTAGCAAGTTTGTCCTGAAATTACAGAATAGTAGTAAATGTGGAGGGTGGAGACTCCATGGAGATGAAGAAGATGAAGAAGAGATGTTTAATTTGATTTCTCTATGAAAAAATCAATTCGGTCCAACCAGTCCGGGCGATTCAGTTTTCATCTTGAAACCGGGAATCGGATTGCCCGTCATCAATTTCAATTTTATGGAACTGAAAATCGGACCAGCGCCTCTGGGAACCGTCCAGAATTGGCCTGTCCGAATCGAGCAGGGCAATTATCAAATTTCGATTCTCATAGAAGTTAATTGCAAAATGTGAAGTCTATGATCTACTTTTTATGATTTTTGTCCCCACAATATCTCGAGTCAAATGGCAAAGAAAGATCAAATACAAAAGCGAATATATACAAATTTCACGATAAAAATATGGAAAACTTTTAGTTAATCTGAAATGATTGGACAACTAGTCATCTCTAATTTAGGAGGGATTTCGAGCTTACCACGCGACGCAAAAAGGGTCTCATCGGGCGTGCGATTGCATTTACGGTCCGACAAATCACCCTAAACAACAATCGACGGATACAACCGACATTGCTCGATAGACCCGATCACGGCCTCGGCGGTGTTCGAGCCGATGCAGCCCGGATACAGAAATCGGGTCGTGGTTCGGGGCAAGCAATTTCCTTCTCGGACCTTAGGCTCTGTCACCCCTACCGTAGGGCCACGTAGGCCTGGTCCAGAAATATTTTTTTTTAGTATATATCGTGTGGACAAGATTGGACAAAGGGGGAAAAAAACAAGAGAGGAAGGAACGCAACAAAAAATCAACTGGTCTTCCTCACTCACAAAGTCACACACACACACGCTCTCTCTCTCTCTCTAGACCAGACCCCTCTCTCTCTCTAGACACGCAGAGAAATGAGCCAGTGCGTTCCGGACTGGGATCTGGACGACTCCGGCAACAACCATCCCACTCCTCCCAGGCTCTCTCTCCGCTCTCGCTCCTTCAATATCAGCACTCCCGATGTTCCCATGTATGATCAAAATGTCGACAAGCTTGTGGATATTCTTTTTGGGTTCTTCTTCTTCTTCTTCTTCTTCTTCGTTTTGCGTGATTTTGATGGGGTTGATTCGTGTCTTTGCTACGCCGGCAGGTCGAACTACGAGGTCGCCGAGCTGACGTGGGAGAACGGCCAGCTCGCCATGCACGGCCTCGGGCCCCCGCGCCCCACCGCCAAGCCCCTCCCCACCTCCTCCGCTTCGCGCTCCAAGTACGCGTGGGTGGACAAGCCACGCGCCGCCGCCAACAACGCCTCCTCCGCGGCCGGCGGCGGCGGCGGTGCCGGCACGGGCACCCTCGAGTGCATCGTCAACCAGGCCGCCGCCCTCCCCCGCCGGAAGCTGCCCTTCGACGCTGCCGCGGCGGTGGCGGCGGGCGACCTCGTCCCGTGGTTCGACCACTCCCGCGGCTCTTCCGCGGCGGCCTCCGCCACCATGACGATGGACGCGCTCGTCCCCTGCGCCGGCTCGGCCGACGACCGGACCACCGCCAGCTTCGTCGACTCCGCGCCCCCGGCGGCGGCGGCGGCGGCGGCGGCGTCGTGGGTTGCTCCACGCGCGTGGGGTCGTGCAGCGGGGCGGCGGCGGGGCCGGCGCAGGAGGAGGACGCGCCGGCGGCGAGGAAGCGCGCGAAGGGGTCGCGCGCGGCGGCGGCGGCGGAGTGGAGCGGGATGGACCAGAGCGTGAGCGTGAGCGGGAGCGCGACGTTCGGGAGGGACGTCGGGGCCGGGATGACATCGACGTCCCTGGGGTCGCCGGAGAACACCAGCTCCGGAAAGGGCTGCGGGAGGGCCACGGCGGCGGCGGCCGAGGACCACGACTCCGTTTGTCACAGCAGGCCTCCGGTGAGGGAACACGCCGTAATTATTTAAATTAACCAATTTAATTAGATTATAATATTTTATTACCTGTTTTTTGTGGAGTTGAGATTTTAACCGGTGCTTAATATCTTACGCACATTAATCATTGAAGCTGTCCCGACAAGTTTCTTGATAAATAAAACTTTTTATTTTTTTAAATATCTTTCTTTCTTTATTATTATTATTTTCAATTTTAATTATTAAAAATGGGTTTTCTTTTGGCATTGTGCAGAGGGAGGGAGGTGACGACGGCGACGGCAAGAAGCGCAGCGGGAAGTCTTCGGTCTCCACCAAAAGGAGTCGAGCCGCCGCCATTCACAACCAATCTGAACGAGTGCGATCTCTCTCCGCCTCTTTTCATATACCCAAAATGGAAAAAAATATATATATATATATATAAATATGTCAATTTCTTTTTAAAAATCACGAAATTATTTTACATAATCTTGCAAGACTTTGGAAAGATTCATACATTATAATGATGCTTGTTTTATAGAGTCGAAGTACACACACAACATATTGAATGAATCATTCAAGAAAAGCAGAAGTTATTGCCCGTGTTCTTGGCAAAGCTGATGCGTCCTTGTTGAAAACGTCGGCTCTTTACTAATAGAAGAAGTACGATTTTTATCGGTTGTGTCTATCGCGGGCGGAGTGCAGTCTCGTGATCTGATCTTATGCGATGCCGATGCAGAAAAGGAGAGATAAGATAAACCAGAGGATGAAGACGCTGCAGAAGCTGGTCCCTAATTCTAGCAAGGTATATCGAGAAATCCCTCCTCCCATTTAATTAATTTATTTTCGGGGTTTTCAGATCTTAGATTTTCGGCGGAATTTTATTTTCGCAAAAAAATTAAAGCAACTGCCAGGACATTTCTGTCATGGAAAAAGAAGTATTATATAATATTCTTTTTATATGAAACTCTCTCTCTCCACCAAGCTTTTTGCAGAGGCCCTTTAATGCTTATCCAAATAATACGACTCATAGAATTCTACTTTTTCCCAAAATTTCTAAGAAAAGTAGGGGTAATAATTACTTGAACGCTTTTTTTTTTTATTGACTAGGTATTGCAATGCAATTTTTAATTTTCCGGATAGTACTCTTTTTTTTTTATCAGAAGTTTTTTTTTTTTTTTCCGGATGGTACTTGAACATGCATGGAAGAGTGAGTTCCAGGGTCGTGCAGAACAGGAACTTTTTATACAAAACGGTATCGTGATGAACAACGTGGTCCATATTAAGCTTTTCTAGGCACGATTGTCTCTGCGTTAATCTCTCACGGAGAGAGAGAGAGAGAGAGAGAGAGAGAGAGAGAGATAGGGCCTACGAAGGAAAAGTTTGATGTTGGAGCAGGAACTTGTCCCCGTATCAAATCAAGAACTTTGTCTCCATATCAAATCATCATCCCTTCTTTGTCTACTTGTACCCATGCAAAGATGAGTCTTGTGGACTAGGATCATCTCTCTCTCCCTCTCCCTCTCCCTCTCCCTCGCTGTCTCTATCTCTCTCTCTGTCTCTCGTCTATGAAATGAGGCCACACGTTCTCCTTCAGAGCATTTACTCCTTTTGGTACCCACATTCTCATGATTGGTCCTGTGATAGAATTGAACAGAAAGAGTAATAATGTGCCGATATTCTAGTCCTTCTTTCCACTTTGGAAGATGGTTCATTACCCTGACTTCAACTAGGCTCGCTTTGGAATCATTCACGACTTTGTAGGACTGTGATGGAGCCGACATGAAAACCTGAACTTCGATGTTTTGCTTTAGGGACACTATCTTATTCTGCTGATGAAAATTTCACGAATACTCTGCGTCTTGATGTGGTGCATGGTGTTATGAAAAGGGTGTGTTGAGCTGTCTTGCGAGTTCCATCTGAGGCGTTCACTTAGTGGGAACGGATATGATGAACTCATTCAGCAGCACTAGAACGTTAGCTGAGGGTTTTCTTGGCTTTGAATACTATGCATCTTGATGTGGCGCATGGTGTTATCAAAAGGATGTGTTGAGCTGTATTGTGAGTTCCATCTGAGGCTTTCACTTAGTGTGAATGGATATGATGAACTCATTCAGCAGCACTAGAACGTTAGCTGAGGGTTTTCTTGGTTTGATCATCAGACGGACAAAGCCTCGGTGCTGGACGAGGTGATCGAGTATCTGAAACAACTCCAGGCACAAGTTCAGATGGTGAACAGGATGAACATGCAGCCAATGATGATGCCGATGGCGATGCAGCAGCAGCTTCAGATGTCGATGATGGGCCAGATGGGGATGGGGTTGGGGATGGTGGGCATGGGGATGCCCGGGATGGGCATGATGGACATGAACGCCCTCGGCCGCTCCAACCTTGCCAGCATCCCTCCCGTCATCCACCCTGCCGCTGCCGCCGCCGCCGCCGCCTTCATGCCCATCAGTTCTTGGGACGGTGACCGGGTACCCGCCGCGGCTCCAATGGTCATGCCCGACCCGCTGTCCCCGTTCCTTGCTTCCCAGTCTCAGGTACCATAAGTTACCACTGGAGAAAGCACTAGTTTTAATCAAAAACTGACGAACATTCTCTTTTGGGGCAAGAAAAATTTAAAAGAACGTTTATTTTGTTAAATCTTACTAAATGAACCATGCTTCATAGAGAATTGCCACATGGAAAAAACTATAGTTTATTCATAGCATATGCTAATGTTAATTAACTCTTAACCTATGGACGCGTGCATTTAATGTGGCATCGTTGCTGAAAATTTCTGGAGGTTAACTGTAGTTGGCTGACTTTTGGGTAGGTGGAAGATAGCATATCATCTCATTAATGGACCGACAATTATTATTTGGAAGCTTTGGAACATAGAGATCGTCCGTGCATATTTCTTTAGATATAGTTGAAAACACTAATCAAGTTAATGAGACAGACAAGACGTGAGATATGACGTGTGAAAATGAAATGATAGTGCATATCATTGCGCGCTTTTCTATGTAAAAGATTCATTTAACATATTCTAAAGAAGCTACTAATAAACTAAGTAGAAGTTTATACTGCGAAAATAAAGCGTTCTTTGTTACGTATACTTGACAAGTTTTCCGAAGATACTATCTTCAAAAGATCAAATCATTATACGTAGGTACAGATAAACGAACTTGCAACGATTGTGATTTTTTTACAAACTAAACTCGTATAGATTGTGATCCTTTATACCCTACGAACTATGATAAATATTGATGTGAATAATTTAATTTTTTTTACCTAGCAAATTGTGTGATTATAGTTGCTAAATTTTGCCAAACTGGACATTTATTTGCAGCCTATGACGTTGGATGCCTACAGCAGAATGGCGGCCATGTTCCAGCAGATGCGTCAACCACCAGCTTCCAGTTCCAAGAACTGAACTAAATTTCGAGAGCAAGTTGCTTTTTTTTTGACATGGTCTTGGAGGCAAGCGAGTGTTGTGACTTTTTTTTTTCTAAGTCTAGTATACTGTTGAAGCACGTGAGATGATTTTAGTTCAATAGATAGGGATTCGGTATTCGGTCTTTCTTTTTGTACTTTCGTGTACCCAGCTAGATGGAAGATTCTTTATGTGTGTGTGTATATATCTATATATTTGAGGAATATATATATATGTATTTAAATGTGGACCCTTCCCTTTTGTTAATTAATTCGATTTTTGTCTGGGATGATGGTTCATATTTTAACATATTAAAGAGTGTATTTGTTTCACAGAAAACCCAATTTAATTAATTCCAAGGATCTTCCCAAATCTTAAGTGTTGGCTATATCTACTATATGTATATGATAATGAATCTATAAACTGGAGTGGAGTTCTAACCAATTAATTCAGGTAAACCTAGATTGATGTGATACTTAAGCCCTCAAGTAGTGTACGAGAAGTTAAACTACCTAAGTGACCGTGTAAGGGAACTGGTATGATAAAACCTAGAGATCTTAGGTTCGGGGTTCGGTTATGTGTGGGGAAAAGTGCCAAAAAAGTCCTAAACCTTTTGCATTGGTGCCAATTTATCCTAAACTTTTTTTTGTATCAATTCAGTCCTAAACCTTTTGCATTTGTGCCAATTCAGTCTTAAACCTTTTTTGTCTTTGTGCCAATTTAGTTCTTCCGATCAATTTTGGCCGGATTTTGCTGACTTGGACGCCGGCCGGTCACCGGCGCTGACGTGGACAACTTTAATATTTTTTTGAATTTTTATTTATTTATTTATTTTCCCTCCCCTCCCTCCTTCCTCCAGCCAGTTGCCGCACCGGCGACCAGCCAAAGGCCAGAGGCCGGCGCCCCCATGGGTGAGGTTGGGCCTTACCCAGCCAGAGGCTGCCCTTGCCAGTAGCCCGCGAGGTCGACCTCGCCGGCCTCTAGCCGGTCGCTGGTCCGGCGACTGGCTAGAGGAAAGAGGGAGGGGAGGGGGAAAAAAATAAAATAATTCAAAAAAAATATTAAAATGTTATTAAAGTTATCCACGTCAGCGTCGGTGATCGGCCGCCGGTCGGTCGGCGTCCACGTCAGCAAAATCGGGCCAAAATTGGTCGAAAGGACTCAATTGGTACAAAAACAAAAGGTTTAGGACTAAATTGGCACAAATAGAAAAAGTTTAGGACTGAATTGGCATCATAAAAAGGTTTAGGACTGAATTGGCATCAATGCAAAAGGTTTCGGACTGAATTTGCACCATAAAAAGGTTGAGGACTAAATTGGCACTAATACAAAAGGTTTAGGACTTCTTTAGTACTTTTCCCGTTATGTGTGAGACAAATTAGCATTCCAGATGCTCTTTCGATATGATAGCCCTATTTTTTTTTTTGTTAAGTCTAAGTTATTTGTCAATTAATTTCCTAAGTATTCAGGATGTTTTGATTAATATTTAAAATGTTGCCACTACATTTATTCAGTAACGTTATTGGTTAAAGAAAACGTTCTTCGTAAGTAGTGGTGTAACTCCATTTGTGTGTAAAAATATGTATGCAAAATTCATTATGACGTGTAAGCACATGCATCGCGCAATGTGGGATTCAAACATAATGATTAAGATGGCATATCATGATGATATTTACATGTGACATGACATATGACAAATTTAAATGCAAACATGACGGAAAATCGTATGATATGATAACATGCACATGCATCATGACATGATAAATTTTTATCGAGACGTGATAAGGGATTGACATGACATGACAAAACCAAAAAGCACGACGAGAGAATGACATGGCGGGACAATAATTACATAAAACATGACATGTCAATTAATAACAATACAATTAATTCGCACCGATGGCAAGACCATATTAGATACAAAATACTCTTAAATACAAGTGCACTTTACCTCTTAAATCTTTTAGAGTAGTCAAGAAAATCCTAGACAAAAGAAGAATCATATCACCTTGGCCTCCTTCTCGGCCGGTCATGCCTGGAGAACCTTCCGTCTGAGCGTCGAGACAAGGGTGAGGACGGTGGCGGCACGGTGGAATAATGAACCGAGGTCCAACGGCGACAAATGGGAGGTCATGTGGCAAGACAGAAGGGCGGGAAACCGGCCGGGGTTGGGTTTGACTTTTCTTCTCCCTACATCACTTTTTACGCGCCTCATGTTTACAACTTGGCTACTCTTAAGTACGTAAACGACAATTGGTAACCAGCAAATTTCTAGAATGGAGAAAAACAAGACCCTTAATTAGGGTTTGGCCCGTAGTTTCTACGGATGGTTTATGGCAAATTATTTAGGGTTTCCATCCCGCACGTGTATTAGGACGGATGATGACCCCATTATTGGGTGATGATTAAGCTCGAGAAATTATATCGTGCAACAACACTTTTAATGTCGAGCACATTAATCGTTGTACAGCCTCAGCAGACATCGAACGTGCAAATGTATGCAAAAGCACAAGCACGTCGATGATTGGATCCTCAGCTGTCGACTTGGTCCAAGCGAAACCGGACGTTCCTCCCCCAAGACATTTTCATGCTATCTAACTTTTGATAGGTCATACATTATTTACGATATCTTCCTCTTGATATGACATTTATGACTTGCATGATGCAACCCCAGAATTTGATGTCCAATGTTCATTATCTCTTCACGGGAACATAGGGAAAATTATTAAAAGTGTCCTAAACCTACTATGATTATGCTAATTCAGTCATAATTTTTTTTTATCAATTGAATCCTAAACCTTTAACATTTATATTAATTCAGTACATCCGGCCAACTTTGATCGATCGGTGTTGACGTGGACATTTATTTTAATATATTCTTTCAAATTATTTATTATCTATTTATTTTCTTTTTCCTTTTTTTGCCTTTTTCCCTTCCTTCTTCCTCTAGCCGGTCCCCGAACCTCGACGACCGGTCGAGGTGAGGGCCAGCAAGGTCAGCCTCGCTAGTGGCCAGCCTCGCCGATCCTCGCCTCTAGCCGGTCGCCAAGATTTGGCGACTAGCCGAAGGAAGAAGGAAAAAAATAAAAAGAAAATAAAAATTCAAAAAATATTAAAATATTATAAAAATATTTACGTCGACACCGACCGCGCCATGTAAGACGGCCGGTGTCCACGTAAGTGCCGGCTCACTAAAATTGGCCGGATGGACTAAATTGGAACAAATGCAATAGGTTTAGGACTCAATTAGCAAAAAAAAATGCTTATGCTTGAATTGACACAATTAAAATAGATTTATGACTTTTTTGGTAATTCTGCTTGTGATCATATGTTGCAATAAATACTAGGGGTCACCATCACATGTAAATAAGGATGATTACTCCTAAAATGCCGCCATTTGGACTCATAATCTTGTTTTTTAAATGTTTAATATCAAACTTCTTATCATGATCAAATTAGCTAATTAATTAATTAATCAATTGGTTAATTGTTTATCTTTCTTAAGAATTTACCTTTGCTTATGTGCAACTTACCCAAAATAAATAAGGACAAAAAGTGCCGGTGCATAGAATGGCCAAAAAATTATTTGATCAACGGTATCATGTTAACGAGTATATTTGAAAGCCTAATTATACATATCTAAAATCTTCCAGGATCATGTTAACGAGTATCTTTGAAAGCCTAATTATACATATTTAAAATCTTCCAAATTTCAAAGAGGTGATGATATAGCATGACAACATTCGAATGCCCAAAATTTATCTAATTAGTTGCTTGGGGCCGGCTGACAAAATTCTTTAAGTTTGTGCATCCATCTGTTTGATTTTCATCCATCAGTTTCTCCACTTTATTTAATGAAGCTCCCTTTGCAACATAATGGATTTTTATCCATCAGGGTTATTTTCGGATTTTCTCCTATCACCTAGGGTTTATACATTATTTATTTAATATTTTCAATGTTTCAGATAATTTTTATCACTATTTTAGACATACAAAAAAAGAGAGAGTTCTCCCTGGAATTTCGCCCCAAAACAAACACCGGCATGAGCGCGTGTTTGCGGATTGAATTGTTTGTGTTTATCTATCTTGTTTGCTAGGACCGACAATTCGTGTTGTGCCGTGTGGAAACAGAGGCATAACATGACATGGCAATTTGAACACAACGGGTATAATGAACGTGTTAAACTGTCTCGGCAAGCCTAACCAAGCATGTTACATAATACAACATCGATAACACGATTATCAAGCATGTTACCATGTTTGGTGTCATCACGACATGATAATTAACCTGTTTACAACGATAAATACATGAAGCACATTTCTGCACAACACCAGTGTTAACTCGTTTAACGAGCTTCAACATGCTTTTACGCAAATTGAGTAATTTCACTTTGCATTAAATCTAAGGTGTATTATGAGTTTGTGTTTTTTTTCGCATGCTTTTTCATCCCTGAAGATGATTTTGTTTATTACTTTAAAATTTTCAAGCTATATTACAAAGAAAGGAATAGAAAATTCTTCAACTACAATTTAAGGATATATTTTAATATGTGGAAAATAATCGAGCATTAACATCTAAATCGACTTAAAAACTAAAAAAAAACTAATTTTGGATACCAAAAGTCGACGCAATTCAAAAGCAACGAAAATAAAATTAGTCGCTATTGCTCATACAAACAGCGATGAAATTTTACTTTCATCGCCAAAGGGCTGATCTGGTATACTAATGCGAGAAAATTAAAATTTCGTCACGCTTGATTGGATTAATTGCGACGAAATACTAGTTCCGTCGCGTTTGGTAAGTTCCCAGTCATATCAAAGGTGAAGAAAATCACATTTTGTTGCGGTTGCTCAATGGGACGGCACCGGATTTTTTTATTTCGTCGCCTGTGATCAATGCAAAAGCGAAGAAAATAAAATGTTGATGCTATTGCATTGGACTGATATGGTATACTTGGCGACGGAATTAAAGGTCCGTCATCGTTGCACTGAGCAACATCGATGAGGTTTTACTTTCCTCACCAAAGACGGGAAAAGTGCAAAAAAAAAGAGTCTTAAATCTATTATATTTGTGCCAAGTTTGTCTCAAACCTTTTAATTGGACCAATTTAGCCCTAAACATTTTCACATTGGTACCAATTCAATCCACCCGGCCAATTTAGATCGAAAATCACTGACATTGACGCCGGTCATCCTATGTGGCACGGTTGGCGTTGACGTGGACAT